TACGTTGGACATATCTCATGCACCACGGGAGCCCACCCCACCTGATTGAGCCCCACACAACCCATCCTGAAGCCCTGCACATGCAGGAGGCAGGTGGGGGAAGGACACCATGGACTGGACCCCTGTGGGACACCCTGGGGTCACCTACCCACCCACCTCCACCTTGGTGAGCTGTGCCCAGCCTCCCTGCCTCTCCATTTCTCTGACCTCCCCTCCCCAGCCACCTTGAACCTAGCCCTGTTCCCAGGGGCATCTGCCTTCCCCCATCTCCCTGCCCCTGGTCAGACATCCTACCCCCAATCTGCTCCTGCACCCTCCTCCTTGGCCAGACATCCTACCCCCAGTCGTCTTCTGCACCCTACCTCCCACCCAGACCTTTCCCCCTTCTGTACCTCACCTCCCTCCCAGATCCTGTACCCCATCCCTATCCCACCTACTGGCAGCCCTGTCCCACACATTAAACCCCTCATTTTTGTCCCCACCCCAGAGCAGAAGGGTCCATTAAAATCCACTAACTCCAGAACCCCAGAAAATTATATCTGGCCTATGGGAAGCCCTAAACCTCAGTCCTCCCTGTCCCTTCCCCTCACACTGTGGGGCTGGAACACAAGAGGAGTGAGGTGTCTCAGGTGGGGGTTTTTGGAGGAGTTTTTTTGCTTCTCACTTGTGTCATCGCCAACTGATTTTTCTTTTCTGTGGGTCAGTGGTCCCTGACACAAGAAAGGTTCCCCGCACCTGCCATAAATAAAGAAAACATTGACATCTTTTGTGTTGGACATAAATTAATATTTTATTTTATTTAAAATGAAATTTGATAAACTAACATGAGAAATTAAACAGATTAAGTGCTTTAACTATTTTAAATCAAACTAGTCTCGCTAGCTGCAGCAGTAGCAAAATGGCTCAGGTGTAATTATGTAATTAACTGTGAGTTTCCATTAGCAACTGGTGGTCCATGGAAAGGTTTACACTAAGCCAAGTTGTTCATGGGCCAAAAAGTTTGAGAACCACTGGCCTAGATTAACACAGACACTACTTGCAAGATTTTCTGGTCTCTGTTGAAGTCACACATGTGGAATATCAATAGGGACCATACATCTTGAAGAACTTCTTGTTACAAGTATATAACCTCCATTTACCACACATTCTATCTGAGCGAGTGCATTTATTTCCTTGGACTCAGAAAAAGAATTAACTACAGTAACTTTGATATCATAGTGTGCTAGCTTTGAATGATGATCTTTTTTTATCTTATATACTTCTATTGGCAAGAGCAGCCTAATTACCTCTCCCACAAAACGAATAAAGCCAAACACCATAACTCCCTATAACATACTACCCTGACCTGCTTCCTCCTCATGTGGCTGACAGAGAGGAGATTGCCTTTTACTATTCTTATTATGTGTCATCTTTTAAATTTTGACCTTGAACATTTTGATCTATTGCTGCACCTTCAAAGAGGGAATGTTTGCAGTATTATTTGTTCTTTTAATAAGGTTGGGTTTTTTTTCCTGTAGTTTTCATATTCAGACTTAGTCAGGAAGAGTCTTTGGTTTTCCTACCTCCATTATTCTCCTTTTCCTTCCCCCCATTCTTTCACACTCCTGGTGCTGTTGTAGCATAATAGCTCTTAACCTGTACTAGAAAATAGAAACAAAGCTGTATTGATGAATGTCCATTGCTTCAAACAGATTACAGTCTCAGTTCTCTCTGATTATTCAATGAAGCATACTCAGAATCCCTAAATGCTGTCTTGAATTTTGTTTTTACAAATGGCTTCAAACGTAAATTGAACCTATCCAATATCATACAGTTTAGGGCCTGAGTCTACCTAATAATTATGCTTGTGTGACCAAAATAAAGAGCAGACAGAATCAGTCTTTGCCCTCAGAAAAATGCAAGGACTGCCCTCTCCTCACTTCCCTCTAAGATGCAGAGGACGGGGGTGGAGAAAGTGCCATAACTTGATCTTCCATATGCACCAGGCAGTAAAGTCATATGGAAAATAGTAAGCTGTGACCCTGAAAAAGGTGTATACTTAGCCTTTGCACATCCAGAAGCTCTGGGAGTCCGAATTCCTTCCACAGCTCCCTCTGTGATGGTTTTTCTGTGCATTGACCCTTACTGTGGGGTGTGCTTACAAGGCACAAATGAGCCTTTTCTAAATTTTAAACATTACTTCTAGTTATTACAACCCTCAAAAAGCTATTATTTCATACTATGACACTATAGAAGCTGTTCTTTTCAACTACAAAGCCTTGTGTTTTCTTCTGAGTAGTTTTATAGATGTCAGTCAATCTATAGCAGTGTGGAGAATTCTAAATTGACATCTTGCATTATCTTCGATATACAATACAAGTGCCCTGCCTAGATCTGCTTTACAAAATGGTTTGTGTATTCTGTCTCAGGCATTGAGAACAATTTTGAAGATAAGCTTTGTAGGAGGTGACTAAAACTGTCAGTGAGATGTAAAAAGGGAGTGTGAGTGGAAAGGAATGTTATTTTATAAAACCTGTGTGCAGCGGACAGAAACAGAAATCTCACCCAGATTATTTTTAGTGCATTGCTAATACCCTGGCTTAGGTTTAAAATGATTAATCTTACAGGGTGTACCATAGGTCTGACAACTTCTTAACTAGTTGCAAGTATCTTGCATTGTGATAGTACAATATCTTAATGCTATCCATTTTTTTTAAAAAGTATTGGAATAATTTTACTTTGCTCTGGCATCCACAAAAAAGTATTGGAATAATTTTACTTTGCTCTGGCATCCACATACTTCACTCTGTTAGATATTTACTCAATAGTCAAAATAGTTTTTCCTTGGTAGTTCTACAAAAAAAGCAAGACACCAGAAATATATATTGCACAGTATAGAAGCCAAACAAATCTTGATGATGGTAACAAATCTCAGGGTGTACTAGGTTAAATAGTTTTTCCTTTAATGACTTTGAAATGTGGACATTTATATACAGTGTAACATTTTTATATCACGTTGAGTTTGTGCCTTAACCTAGTGTGTTATATGTAAGTAAATCTGAGTTTAAAGTCTTTGTGCTCCTCAAAGTATAAATGCATGAACCTATTTCTTTGGATCCTGGAAGAGAGCTATGAAAAGAGAGACTGCTGCATTTTCCTCCCATTCAGTGGAAGTGTCTTCAGAGATTCCTCAGAATATTCCAGCCCTGCAGATGTGGGATGGATGGAACCAAAATGGGGAGGGTACCTGTCAGATTGTTAGGAATAAAGTGTTGCCAAGTGTCCTCTGGACACATGCCCCAGTCTCTGGCTGAACCCCTGTGATCCACGAGTATTGGGGTGTGTGTGTGGAACTAGCAGCTTGTGCTTCCTCAAATATGAAAGTAGCAAATGAACTATGAGTGCAGTTCAGAGTGCCCAATCCCCTCGGTGGTTTACATTCCCATTGATCAACATTGGGTCCTAACTTCCTGAGGGTGGGGATTGTGTCAGCAGAAATAAATAACTAATACATTAAAAATCTAGCTAATCCACACTCCACTAAAACTAAACTACACAAAATAAATGAACACAAAATAAAGTTTCATGAGCATTATGAAGTTTCACTCGTCACTTCTGCAGACTAAACAGACCCAACTCCCTCAGCCTCTCCTCGTAAGTCATATGCTCCAGCCCCCTAATCATTTTGGTTGCCCTCCGCTGGACCCTCTCCAATGCGTCCACATCTTTTTTGTAGTGGGGCCCCAGAACTGGACACAATACTCCAGATGTGGCCTCACCAAAGCCAAATAAAGGGGAATGATGACATCTCTGGATCTGCTGGCAATGCTCCTCTTAATGCAACCTAATATGCCATTAGCCTTCTTGGCTACAAGGGACTCATCCAGCTTCTCATCCACTGTAATCCCCAGGTCCCTTTCTGCAGAACTGCTACTTAACTGGTTGGTCCCCAGCCTGTAACTATGCTTGGGATTCTTCTGTCCCAAGTGCAGGACTCTGCACTTGTCCTTGTTGAACCTCATCAGATTTCTTGTGGCCCAATCCTCCAATTTTTCTAAGTCACTCTGGACCCTATCTCTGCCCTCAAGCATATCTACCTCTCCCCCTTAGCTTAGTGTCATCCTCAAACTTGCTGAGGGTACAATCCATCCCCTCATCCAGGTCATTAATAAAGATATTGAACAAAACCGGTCCTAGAACCGAACCTTGGGGCACTCCGCTAGAAACCAACCACCATCCTGACACTGAGCCGTTGATCACTACCCACTGGGCCCAGCCTTCTAGCCATCTTTCTATCCATCTTACCGTCCATTTATCCAATCCACATTTCCTTAACTTGCTGGCAAGAAAATTGTGGGAGACTGTATCAAAAGCCTTGCTAAAGTCAAAGTATATCACATCCACTGACTTTCCCATGTCCACAGAGCCAGTTACCTCATCATAGAAGCTAATCAGATTGGTCAGGCACTACTTGCCCTTTGTGAATCCATGCTGACTATTCCTAATCACTTTCCTCTCTTCCAAGTGCCTCAAAATGGATTCCTTAATGATCCCTTCCATGATTTTTCCAGTAACCAAGGTAAGACTGACTGGCCTATAGTTCCCTGGATCATCCTTCTTCCCTTTTTTGAAGATGGGCACTACATTTGCCTTTTTCCAATCATCCGGGATTTCTCCCGATCTTCACGACTTTTCAAAGATAATGGCCAAAGGCTCCTCAATGACATTTGCCAGCTCCTTCAGTACCCTCGGATGCATTAAGTCCGGACCCATGGATTTGTGTACGTTTAGCTTTTCTAAATAGTTCCTAACCTGTTGTTCTCCTCTAGGTTAAGGAGCTAGTATCTCTTGACTAGTTGCTTTATGGACTGCAGTCTGGGAACCAATATGATAGTAATTGTTTGTTTTTGTATTTCATAATATTGTAGGATATTCAATAGGAACATGTAAAGTTCTGCAAAGTAGCCAAAATATGTAGAAGAGCCACTAAAAGTTGGTTTGGGGTTTTGTTTTTTCTACAGGACCCAAAAGCATAAATCAGGTTCCAGGAAATATGGAAAATGGGGAAGAAGGAACCACTAAAATTATTGCACCTTCCCCTATAAAAAGGTACGTATAATGAGACCAGTAAGGTTTTATCATGACTTACTGATGAAGAGCTGTCCCAAAGTGTTGGATAGAAAAACAATTATACTAAATATTAGTAGTTTTTAAAGGCCAGGAAGAACCTTCATGGTCTCCTAGTTTGAACTTCTGCCTAACATGTTCAATTACTGAGTGACATCAGTAATTCCTGTATCAATCTTCTGGCTGCACCAAAGTGTATTGTTTAGAAAGACACACAGTCTCGATTTAAACAAAACCCACCAGATTATGGCATGAAAGACACTGCCAGGGTTGGTGTGAAGGTTCACTGCCCCCATAGGAGCTTCAGAAGGCAGGGTCAGTGCAGTAAAAAATGCAGAGGAAGAATGAACCCTGAGAAATCTTTTGAAAGGGTGCAGCATGTGTTCCTATTCGGTGTGTGGGTGTGGGAGGGGGAGGGGGAGAGAAAAGGTGGGCATGGTCCCATCTCACCCAAGCTGGCACTTTGGGAAATCTGGCACTGCTGTCAGTCCTTGCAGCTTCTGATAAGGCCAGGCATAATACTGACTAAAGTTTAAATACCTTTTGGACCAGATCATGAGTAAGTAATGATTAATTTACTAGTTGAGTAGTTGACTACTCCATTAGTTGATAAGCACTTCTGCATTCCTCCCCCTCCCCCCCCACTTCCACTGAGGCTCTTGTACATTTCAAAGGAGGAATGTGGAATTTCGTGTGTAGCCCAGGCTCCATGCTGCGAGGCCCCCACTGACCCTGGGCTCTGTGCTGTGCTGCTGATTTGAAATGTCACGCGAAGCTGGGGTCAGCTGGGGACACCTGGTCTCTACGTGTGGCAGCGCTACACAGCTGATCCTGGGCTCAGCTGTGTGCCGCTGTTGCTTTGAAAGCCGAGGTGGCATTTCAAAGGGGCGGTGCTGCCCCTTTGAATGCTGCCTCCACGTTCAAGTCCCCTCTCTTCTCCACCCTTTGCTGCCTCTATAAGAGGTAGAGGAGGGAGCAAAAGAAGGGGAATTGACTACTCAACTAGTTGACTGACTATCAAATAAGCATTTGCTTATCAGATAGTTGACTAATCCTTAACATCCCTAATCAAGAGCTGATATAAATGAGCAACACTTTCTGTTGAATAAAATGGTCCATTATCTTTGCTTTTCTCTTTCTCTTTACTTTTCAAAACTGAAATATACTTCTCCAGATATTCTTGAGAGAGAGAAAACCCATGTCTGAACATAACAAAACTGAAAGTCTAAAAAATGTTGCAGCAGACTCCCGTTGAAGTATATTTTTGAACAGTGCTAATAATTTGAAATTAAAAGAACTGGTTAAAACAATGACATACTATATTTTCTATTCCTTGCACTTTTTATATCTTGTGTCTTGTAGGCACTTATCAGTATAGAGGCTTGTTTCACATTTAGAAAAGATACTGAGAGAAGTTCCTCTAGCACGAGAGTTAAATAACAAAATTCGTAAAGTTCCTTGATTTTTTTCTTCCTCTCTGTATCAGCACTGAGAATTATGGGGACCAGACAGCATGCTTCCTCTGTGAGGCATTTACAGTTTGGGGCTTCATTCTAGTAATGGCCCCTTAAGAATGCTTATAAGGCATCTTTTATCAACTCTTCTCAGCTGAGTCTTCATAGCTTAGCATTTCATTCACTGCTGAAATAGATAGCTGGTCACCTGTGCATGAATGGTATAAAATCAAGATAAACCAGAAAAAAAACATCCAGGACTCCCTCATGAAATTCCAATGGTAACCTTTTCAAAGATAGTGAACAAGCTCAATCCCTTTTGCAACTGCATTCCTGAAGATAATGCCAGTATCTGAAGAGCTGTCATGCGCTAGCACTCTAGCTCTAAAATGTATATCTGCTCTGAATGAGAAGTGATTTAGAAATCTAATACTGTTAATTCAGCACGCAGGATTATTTCTCTCCCTCTCTCTCACCTTCTCAGGCTGTGTTGGACATGCATTTAAAGTCACGCCATCTTTCTAATAATCACCTCATTGTGTAATTGTAATGCTATGCTATGCAAAAAAACCAAAAAAAGTGGGGGAAGAGATTCCCCCAAAACACGATAGCGCCTGTTCATTAGGTTTATTTGCACCAACTGTAGTGAGTTGGGGTGAGAAATAGATTCTCTGCAAACATCTGAATTGAGAGCTAAATGGGTACAATATTAAGAAAAATATGATTAATCTTCTGAAGTGACCTTGTTTAAATGTTTGAGGTTTTTTTTCTGCTGCCTTGCTGGTAGCTTTGCAATTTTTACACTATATGAGAATGTAATGCTTAACTCAATGACCTGGAGTAACAAAAGGCCAAGGTTAAAAGTGAGTCTGTTAAGGGAATGACAAACCTTACCCTTCAAGTGAAGCAAGCTGACTTGTGTTTCTATGCAGAAGTCGCTGTTGATAGTTTGTATTTTGGAAGTGTCTGCAGCATTTATATTTGCAATCTGATGCTGTGCCAGTTATGAGGAGCTTAGTGACAGCTAGTGTGGTTATCCAGCAGTATGCTGAACTGGGAGTCTAAGTATTCTGAGTTTACTGGCAAAAACTGCAGGTGCTGCAATAAAGGCTTGATCGGCTAATGTAGAGGAAGAGAGCATTCTCCAACCAGAAACCAGCTTTTGGAGTGACAAAACCTGACCAAGGAGCCTTAGTCATTGGCTGGAATAAGAGATGTACAACCTATCAATGGGGGAGGAAAAAAAAAAAGAATGAAGAAGATATTTCAGATGATCCTGTGAAGATTCAGGTGTTTTAGAACAGTGGTTCTCAGTCAGGGGTGCAGGAACCCCGGGAAAATACAAGGAGTTCTTCTCAGGGGTATATCAGTTCATCTTCTAGATATTTGTCTAGTTTTACAGCAGGCTACGTAAAGTGCACTAGCAAAGTCAGTACAAACTACAATTTCATATAGACAATGACTTGCGTATACAGCTTTATATACTATGCACTGAAATGTAAGTAAAGTATTTATAATTCCAATTGATTTATTTTATAATTATGTGGCAAAATGAGAAAGTGAACAATTTTTCAGTCATAGTGTGCTTTGCAGGAGTGGCCCTAGACGAGCTGCCGGCAACTGGCGTCCTAGGTGAAACGCGCGATTGGCGCGCGATCAGCGCCCCCGCCTTCAAAGCCCTCAACGGACATTTATCTTGGGGCCCTATGCGACTGCCTAGTTCACCTGTATTGATGGGCCGCCACTGCACCTTTTGTAGTTTTTAAGTGAGGTGAAATTTGGGGTTATAAGACAAATCAGAGTTCTAAAATGTACAGTAGTCTGGAAATTTTGAGAGTCACTGTTTTAGAACATACTGATGGCTTCTTCTCCATAGCTAGGGTAAGAGTTCAATCACTTGCTCATTGCTAACTATGTGTGCGCCCATCTCTGACTGTCTTGGAGCACTTCTTTTTCCAGGGTTAGTCAGAAATGATATTTAATAGCTAATTTGCAGGTGCTCAGTACAACTTCCATAGGTGACATTTCTGTTAGGAATTCTTCAGGATGGAGGTTCAACGGCTTTGTCTGAGAAATGGGTTTTCTAAGAACTGCATGTTCTTAGAATGAGCATTAGTGAGGTTCATGTGCAAAAAAATGTGTTTTAAATCCTCATCGTGATGGTTTTTATTTGTATATGTATTTTTACTTAGCTTTAAAAAGGCAAAAAGTGAAAATAGTCCAGAAACCCAAAGAAGTAAAACAAGTGCACCGTGGGAGGAAAATGGCCATCCGAGGTAAGGTAAACATCATGCAATGGCAGAGATTTTGCTCCGTTGATGATGCAAGAGAAGTTGATGTAATACATTAATGAGTAGCAACATCAGAATAAACACATAGCATGCATTCCACAAGCCAGACCAGTATGTGTAGCACATTACCTGGCACTTCTACATGCATTCCTGAGTTCAGTTTGTATATTTTGGATATCATGATGTCTTATTCTGATTAGTGCCTTTTCAGGATAAGAACAAAACAACTATAGGGCAAAGTGGTTCTTTATTACAAAAATCTTCCTATGCCAAAAAGTAGTGTATGGATCTGTTCTTCTTTGTGGCTTCCCACAACTATTGAATCAGTGGCTGTGCTCTGTAATGTCAGTCTCTGAAGGGTTCTGTGTAATTGTCCCTTGTTTTCAAGATACAGGGTAATATATGTAATTATGTGTTTCTGGAAAACAATAACATCCTCAATCTCAGCTTGACCAAATCTTATTATGTATACTCTATTCAGTATAGAGAAATGTGTTACTTCTTTACATGGACATTATAGCTATTTAAAAAAAAAATCTATGTCTGTGCCTGTGCGGTAATTCTGTACAGTGAGGCGGGAGTATCTAAATCGTTTGATATTTTTTAGATCAATTGTTTACTCTTGCTGTTTAACTCTAGTGGACTCTATAATTCTCCCAGTGACCACAATAAATCACCAAAGTTTCCTAACTCTCGACGACGGAACCCATCAGGTGGCAGTGAAAATGAATATGGGCAACATGCTAGAAGAAGGTAAGAATGTGGAAAGCAATATTAGTTTCTGCTTACAACAGAAGTGTTTTTTGTGGTTCTCCTTGCTTTGGGCTTAGTAAAGACTCCTTAATCCAGAGCTGTGTCAGAGCAGAGAAGTTGCGCCAGTAATCAATGAGTGAACAACAATTCCAGAATTATTGTGTAAGGAGGAGGGTGTGTCCACTGTGTCCTGTCACCTGGCAAAACTTTCTGAGTCATGGGGGACATAGAAAGCCTTGAGTTAGCCCATTTGCCTGCTATGGTTTCTGGTGCCAGCTTAATTGGGGATTTCAGTGATCTGCTCCTATGTTCTCCCAGTTGTTGCTGCTCACTATGTGGAGCAGGGAGGGGGAGGCTGTTTGGCTATGTGATTTTAAAAATATCAGAATTGCAACATTGTTTTCAATGAAAAGGCTAAAGTGGTGAAGCCATTAAGAGCACTGGACAGTATGTCTGCAAAAGCAAAGTGGTGAACTATTTGAGATGTTCCTTTAATTGTACAGATGTTTGAGTAACACATTAATACAATCAAATAGCATGGGGTGAGATTCCGTGCTGTGCCAATTAGAGGCCCAGATGTGCAATCCAGGCAGAAATGGGGCTAATGAAATGGAACTCCCCCTTTGCAGCTGCAATCCTGGTCTGTGCAGTGGGTTGGGGAGACCCCTGGGATGCTTTAGATAGGTCCCCAGAGTCATCTACATTACGTCATCCACAGCAGTTTTGGCAATCTCCAAAGTGTTGTGCGCTGCAGCCCTGTCACGGACATCCTGAGCACTGTCCTCAGCCTGCCTCCTGCATCAGGGTTTTCATGGGAGTCCTCAGGGACCAGCCCTGCGGCAGAGGGAATCCTCTCCCAGCAGTGTGATAGGATTTTTAGGGCCATTTATGCTGCTGCAGCCCTTTTAACCAGTGTGAATGGGTGAGCAGTGATGAGAATCTCACACATTAAATCTACTCGATAGCCTCATGCTAGATCCTCTGGACCAGATCCTGAACTGTTATAAACTAGCATAGCTCTAGTGAAAGCACTGTGTTATGTTGATTTCCACCTGCTGGCTATATTTTATTTTCCTGAGACCATTTTTCTCATTCCGTTCAGTTTTAGCCATCTGAATGCCCATTGGCATCAATTAAAAAAGGAATTTAGATGTGCAGTGTATAACAGTGTCTAACAACGTGTAACAGTTGTATGCTATGCAGTAAAAAAAAAAAATTTCTGAGTGGGGATGTTCGATATCAATTAATTTAATAATCATGTAACTGCATAAAATCTCAGTGGTTACGTGATTATTTGATAGTCCCCAGGGGCAGGGCCGGCAGCCTAGGCTTATCGGTTAATCATGTAGTCGACTGCACAGTGACATTCCTATTTCTGAGATGTGTAGCATGCATCACCCAGAACAGGTACCTGTAATATCTACAATATTGCTAGGTGGTCAAGCCAATAACCTATTTTCTCTTGGCTCCAACAGGATTATAGACGTGTTTTTCAAAGTCTTCTTCATAGATGATATTGTGGACACAGATGCTAATCTAATAATATCTTCTGAGTTTTGAATTCCATTAAGTGGTGTTTGGTTTTTCATCTGCACCCTAGTTTGAACTAGGGTGGTAATGTAGGCAACCGGAGTTGCAAATGAAGCCCGGGATTTGAATTTCCCAGGCTTCATTTGCAACTCCGGTTGCCTACATTACCACCCTAGTTCAAACTAGGGTGGTAGTGTAGACATACCCTAACAGAATAATCGTGGGGTTTGAGTGCTGTTTACTAGCCTTAGTAGAAAAAAGTCAGACTTTACCACACTGCATGCACTCTATTGGCTAACTTGCAGAGCTCTACCCTGCCCTCACTGAAGTCAGTGTGAGAGCTTTGTCATTTATTTCAAAAGGAAATTGTAGCAATCCAGCAGTGCCTAGTTAAAGATGACCTGCAAAATTCAAGTGGCAAAAAAAAAAAATAAAAAAAGGTATGTCAATATATTGCTTTATACTAATGTGTAAAGAAGACCTAAACGTTTTAATTTTCTAAATAGCTAAATATTCAGAACTTGTCTGCTTTGAAAGACTTTCTGATGACTGGAGAACTAGTGAAACTGACATTACAATAAGTGGGAGAGGAAAGTATCTTTTGTCAGTTGCTTACAGCCTTCAGGCTTGCTCCTTAGCAGGTGCAGATCAGCTTAGCTCCATCAACTTCACTGGTTCACAGCAGGATCTGGTCCCAACTGAGCTATTTAACTTCAGTGATTTTGGAAAGGGACCTCCTTTTTGAAGATTGAACACCATATGAAATAAACCAGAGAGAATCAAACTTGACATTCCTTATATTTTGAATGAAAAAAATCAGCCCTTAATCCTTTCTTTATACATCATACAGAAGCAAAAGTGGACACAAGATCAATGAAAAAATATTTTGGGTCACTTTTAAAGAACACTGTAGATTCTTAACTTAGTAGATTCACTACTGGATCAGTCTCTTTTTTTCCTTTTGTTTATTTGCAAAGACCATTTCATTCATTCGAAGTTTTTTAAGTCCTTCAATGCGCTTTAGAAAATGAATTTCAGATCTCACAAAAAACTCACCAGTTTTCATTGAGCATAAAGTAGTTATTAAAATGATATAATAATTCTTTGATCCTTCTAATGCTTTACAAACATCAGCTATTTTCTCTGAAGGCTTTGTTGGAGACGATGTTATATATTAATATTAGACTTCAAGGTGGCCCATAAATGTGTCATTCAAAACTTCCTTAATTATCTTTGTCATAGGAAAGCGCAGAACAGCGGTGAAGATTCAGATCTAAAGCATAGGAGAAGGTAACTATTATTTGACAAGGAGAGGTTTGAAAGAGAGTATTGGAGACTTTTGTATATCTTCTAACACAATACAGCATAGTATTCTTTAAGTGCAATATTTTAATGATCTACAGTAGCACAGAATTGTCTATTTTTTAGTTTTTCATCTGTGCAAATTACTTCATTTAGAGTTGCTATTAGTTTTTTTCACTGGATCATTTAAAATTTTGTTGAATCCCACCCATATAACATTTTATAAGTTTCCTTTGTCTGCTGAAAAGATTCCTAGCATGGCCTTAGTTCAGTGGTCACCAACCAGTAACTTGGGATCTACTGGTAGATCTTGGAGCCCCTGACAGGTGATACTGACTGGTTGGGCCAAGAGGCTATCAAGTGCCGACAATTCAGCTGCCCCTTCCCCCACTGCTGCACATCTCCTGCCCTTTGCCTTACAGCAGCGGTCACCAACCAGTAGATTGAGATCTACCAGTAGATCTTCGAACCTCTGACAGGTGATCCTGACTGGTTTGGCCAGGAAGCTATCAAGGGCTGGCATATTAGTTACCCCTCCACCCACTGTTATGCTGCTCCTGCCCTCTGCTTTAGAGATGCCCTCAGGAGCCTCCTGTTTGCTGTGCAGGATGTGTGGGGGTGGCGCTGATGTCAGGGTGTGCCTCCTCCCCCCACTTCCGTACCTCGTCTCCACACAGAGAGAAGGGGATGGAGGGAGCTTGGCAATGCAAATCTCTGTCACTCTCACACTGTGTGTGTGTCTGTCATTCTCACAAACACGCACTGTCCTTCCTTCTCATCTCCTGACCCAACACATACATGGGGGGTTGTAACTTCTGTTATTGCTTGCAAAGTGTGTTATTTTTGGTTTGTGACTGGTGTGTGCATTTTAACATTTTCATTTCTCTCATGTTTAAACTGAATTCTTTGAGTAGTGAGTTCTAAAATGCCAACCTGTCATGACTGGAGTAATTATCCCCATGGTAATTGCTGCTCCTGGACATGGCTGGCAAGTCCCTGCAGCCCCTGAGAGAGGCAGAGCAGGGGATCTCCATATGCTGTTCTTGCCTGCAGACACCCTCCTGCAGCTCCCATTGATCAATAACAGGGAACCAAACCATGGCCAGTAGGAGCTGTGGGCTCAGTGCTTGTAGATGAGGGGCAGCACATGGCACCAGGGAGCCTTGCTGTAAATGCCAGCTGCTTTCAGGAGTGGTGCAGGGCTGGGGCACTTCCCAGTTAAATGGAGCCTAGCCAGAGCCTGAACTCCTGTCTCAGCCCTGAACCTCCTCCTGCACCCAACCTCCTGCCCCAGATGTGAGTCATCCTGCTCCCAAACTCCTTCCCAAGGCTTGCACCTGAACCCCCTCCTGGATCCCAATGCCTTGCCCTGGGCTAAGCCCTGAGCGTCTCCCACACTCCAAACCGGTTGGCCCAAGGCCAGAGCCTCCACCCCAACCCCTACCCCAGCCTGGTGAAAGTGACTGAGGATGGGTGAGGAAAGGGGATGGAGTGAGAGGAGTGGGGCCTCAGAGAAGGGGCAGGAAGGAAGTGTGGGAAGGGTATTTGGGTTTGAGGTAGATCTTACATTCACTTAAATTGAAAAAGTGATCTTGTGGTTAAAAAGGTTGGAGACCTCTGCCTTACAGCTTGCTCCTCCCCCACCCCAGGAGCCTCCCATTTGCTGTGCAGAGCAGGGAAGGGATTAGGAGGGTGCACTGATGTCAGGGTGCCCCCTTTCCTACCCTGTACTCTGTCTCCAATGAATGGAGTGGGGGGTACAACAGAGCTTGGGATGGATGGAGTTTGCTGGCTGCTTTTGAGAGTGGTGCAGGGTCAGGGCTGGGGTCAGTCTGCCTTAGCCCCATTGCACCTCCTGAGCCAGCCTTAGTTAATGCTTGTAGACATACCATGACGAAATTCTCTGGAGGCTACTCTATCCTACCTTGCCACCTGGTGAAGGTTTACTAAGAGCTTGTCTACACTTGAAAGTTATTTTGGATCAACATGAGATTTCCAGGATAATTTCATTGCCTCCACATACACATTTTTGTTTAGCATTATCTGGTGTTTCAACCTACTGTAATTAACTCACATTGGAAGCAAGTTTAGCAACTTCCAGGATGAATTTTCTCATAAGTTGGGTGTGAACACATCCCTATTTCAGTATAACTGCCATTGCAGTCCCACACTATTTTGCTACACACTGAGGTCATCATGTCTGTTTACTTGTATGCCCTCTACTGTTTGGTGTTCATCTAGACTGGCTGTCACCTTGCTGTTGAAATACTGGTACAAGCCAGATGCAGCCCTGTGCAAGCCAGGTCCTGGTAAATTCACACACCTGGAGTTACATACTGTATTGTTACTAACAGTTTATAGCAGCCATGCTCTGTACTTAATTGCCACCTAGTATCCCTTCCCCTCTCTCACCACTTAGCATCCTGACAAATCGTGCCCGCCCCCTCCCGCCCCTACAGGGCCATTATCAGTGCCTAAACATCTGGTAAATCTGCAGGGGGGGGGGAAGAGGATGCGTTTGCTGACCTGTGCCTGCATCCCAGCAAGAGCAGAATGCTTCATACTGGAAGCAATCCTTCACTTTCACCTTCAACTCCAAGGAACAGGCCCTTCCATTACTAGCTGATACCCCAGGACAAGGAAAATAGTGAATACTAGGAAACTCTTTCCTGCAAATTACACAATTGCAAGGGAGAAGATCCATTTACTGCCAGCCAACACCCAGGATACATAGAACTTTGATCCTCCCTCTCCCGCCACCAGCTGTATTACTTAATAGAGATCACTTCTCTAGCTGTTCATAACATCCAAAAAAATCTCTTCACCTTTCCACCCATCCATGATGGCTTGCTTGCTATCTCAGAGGTTGTACAAAATGCAGCAAACCTGGGATATAGTCAAACAGCTCCTTTCTGCTACCCAAGTGCCTGCATCATCATGACACTACTCTTTCTCTCTCTAAGGCCGTGGTCACCAACAGGTCAATCGCGAGCTACTGGTCGATCGCGAGGCCTCGACCAGTCTCTCGCGAGGCGTCCTGTCTGCCCCGCCCCCATTTCCCTCCCACCTCCCAGAAGCCCCACTACTTACCTCAAGATAAAACGGAGGTAGTGTCGGCTTCAGAAGTCCCGCAGCTTAGCGCCACTTCCGGTGATTCCAGAAGTGCACTAGCTGCTTTGCACAGGATGGGTGCATCAGCTCCGCGGGAGGCACGCAGGGGGGTTGGCGCCGGGACAAGCGCACGCGGGGCACGCACTGGTTTCTTGGGGGGGGGGGGGGGGACCCCGGGGGGGCGGCAGCT